GCCGAGGACACCGGTTCCCTCATGGAAGAGGAACCGTTCGTGGTGGGCTGCTGGTGCCACCGCATCTGGTGCAGCGGTTGGGGTCCAAGCAGTTTTTATTTTTATTATTGGAGAAAGAGAGATTTTTTGCTATAGGGTGTGCGTGCTCACCAGAGAGACAGAGAGCAAGAAATCACTCCCCGAGCCATGCCGAAATCCCTTTTCCTCCACTCTCTCCAGATTGGGGCACGCACACACATCATGCACCTGGCGTGAGTTACTTTTTTAAAAAAAAATCATTTTCTTTTTTTTTTTTTTTTTTTAAGAACTATGTTTATTCAACTTTATTTTTTATTTTTTTGGAGAGGTTTTTGCTATAGAGCACGTGCGCTCGCAAGAGAGACAGAGAGACAGAAAGCGAGAAAGCACCCCCCCAGGGGGGATGGCCACGCCGCAATCCCTTCTCCTCCATTCTCCTCTCGGGATCTTGGGCACGCACGCACACGTGCCCGGCGTGAGTTTAAGCCACCGGGTCCGGGACTCGAACCGCAGTCGGCTACATGGGAGTCCAGCGACATAGCCATTATGTTAACTGCTGGTCCCAACTTTATTTGTTTATTTTAATTTGACCAGAGAAAGAGAAAGCAAGTCACCAGGTCCAGGACTTGAACCACGGTCAGCCATGTAGGAGTTCAGGGCCCTCAACCACCACGCCACCTGCTGGTCCCGAATCATATTCTTTAACTTACTTACTTACTTTATTAATTTATTTCGTTGAACTTGCTGTAGGGCGCTTGTACTCGCCAGAGACAGAGAGAAAGGGAACAGGAAAAAGCAATCTGCCCGGTCTGGATCTTGAACCGTGCTCAGCCGTGTGAAAGTTCCAGTGCCTGAACCGCCACGCCACCTGTTGACCCCGCCTACTTACTTTTATTAATTATTCCATTTCACTTTATTTACTTATTTTAATTTGACCAGAGTGGGACAGAGTGGGGGCGGGGCAAGAAAACAAACCTCCAGGTCCGGGACTCGAACCGCTGTCGGCCATGTGGGAGTCCAGCACTCCCAACCGCGCATATCTGAATCTTACCCATATCTACGAACTTGGAGGCCACAGCCACGGGTCTCGACCTCTCTCAGCCTCTACCTTCCTACTTGCAGATCGAGATGCTCAGCCCCTTCGAGGCAGCGTCCGAACGCTTCCGGGAGCAGTACAAGACCTTCGCCACGGCCTTGGACACCACCAGACATGAGCTGCCCGTGAAGTCCATCCACCTGGAGGGCGACGGGCAGCAGGCGCTGGGTAGGACACAGGAGGGCTCAGCTGCGCTGAGATGCCAGCCAGGCTTCCACGTCCCAGCCCCATGAGCCTCTGAGACCACAGTGACCAGTGGCCTCCCTCCCCATCCCTGTGGCAGAAGGTGGGGTGGGAGTGGCCAGGCTCTGGGACCTCCAGGGTCTTGACTTGAGAGCAACTCTCCTGGGATTTGAACTCAGAGCTGTGGGCGTTGCAGTGATCTCAGGGCCCACTGAGACACATTCCTTTTTTTTGTTGTTTTCTTCGTTTTTTAGGGGTTTTTTTTTTTTTTTGGAGAGGGTTTTGCTGTAAGGCACATGCACTTGCCAGAAAGACAGAGAGACAGAAAGCAAGAAATCACCCCCACGGGGGTTGGCCACTTTGCAGTCCCTTCTCCTCCATTCTCCTGTTGGCACGTATGCACACACACTCGGCGTGAGTTTAAGCCACCGGGTCCGGGACTCGAACCATGGTCGACTACATGGGAGTCCAGTGACATAGCCATTACGCTAACTGCTGGTCCTAAGGTTATTTTCAATAGGGCACTTGTGTTCACGGGAGAGCAGGAAAGCAAGAAATCACCCCCCCAGGGGGGATAGCCACGCTGCAATCCCTTCTCCATTCTCTTGGGGTTTTGGGCACGCACGCACACATGACCGGGTTTTATTGTTGTTTTTTGGGGGTGTTTTTTTTTTTTAGAGAATTTTGCTATAGGGTGCACTCTCCAGAAAGACAGTGAGAGAAATCACCTCCCAGGGGGCTCGGCCACACTGCAGTCCCTTCTCCATTCTCCTCTCGGGATTTTGGGCATGCACGCGCATGCGCCTGGCGTGATTTTTCAAGCCGCCATGTCTAGGACTCAAACCACGGTTGACCACGTGAGAGTCCAGGGACATAACCATTATGCCATCTGCTGGTCCCACCATGGAGCATGATTTTCATGCTTCCAGGTCCAGGACTGGAACCATAGTCAGCCATGCGGGAGTCCAACGGTGGGGCGGTCCGCTTATCATCCCCTGAGTCCTGGGCCTCAGCCCACCCAGGCTTGCCCTATAAACAACAATGAGGTTGTGCGTGGGTCCCTCTTACCACTTCAGTCTCAGCCCTGACAGGTGTTAAAACCATTGTGCTGAGGAACCAGCAGTTGGCGTCATGGCTATGTCGCTGGACTCCCATGTAGTCGACTGCAGTTCAAGTCCCGGACCCGGTGGCTTAAAACTCATGCCGGGGGCGCGTGTGCGTGCGTGCCCAAGATCCCGAGAGGAGAATGGAGGAGAAGGGATTGCGGCGTGGCCGTCCCCCCTGGGGGGGGATTTCTCACTTTCTGTCTCTCTCTGTCTTTCTGGCGAGCGCACGCACCCTATAGCAAAAACCTCCCCTTCAAAAAATAAATAAATAAATGAATTTTTAAAGGTCTCACAGCAGAGAGGGGAAGAATCTACGTTGCTTTGGGGCCCTGGAAAGCCCTCACCAAGGACCCTCCCCTTTTCCCTGTAGACGCACTGCAAGCAGAATTGCAGGCCACACAGCACCTGCTGGGCGAGCTTGGGATTGGAACTTTGGAAGATAACGTGAAGGTGCTACATTTCCTGAGCGAACTGAAGGAGCTGACCTCAAGGAAAGACCAGGAGCTCCGAAGGTATTTCAGAAAATATTTACTTTATTGGGGCCGGTGGTTAAGAGCACTGGAATCCCACATGGCCGACCGTGGTTCGAGTCCCAGACCTGGCAGCTTGCTTTCTTGCTCTCTCTGTCTTTCTCTCTCTTACACTCTGTCCCTCTATGTTCAAATTAAAATAAATAAATAAGTAAAGTTAAATAATTTTTAAAAAAAAGAAAGAAAATGTTTATTTTGTTTATTTTTTGAGAGGGCCGGCAGGTGGTGTGGTCAAAGGTACTGGACTCCCACGTGGCCAACCATGGTTAAAGTCCTGGATTCCTTTCTCACTTTCCCTCTCTCTCTCTGGCCAAACTGGAAAATAATAAAAAATAAAGTTAAAAGAATTCTTTTTATTTATTTTTTATTTTGAGAGGTTTTTGCTATAGGGCACGGGCGCTCACCAGAAAGACAGAGAGACAGAAAGACAGAAAGCGAGAAATCACCCCCTAGGGGGGATGGCCACGCTGCAATCCCTTCTCCATTCTCTCGGGATCTTGGGCACGCACGCACACGCGCCCGGCGTGAGTTTAAGCCACCAGGTCCGGGACGCGAACCGCGGTCGACTACGTGGGAGTCCAGGGACATAGCCATGACGCTAACCGCTGGTTCCCCCAAGCGTGATTTTTAAGCAGCAAGGTCCGGGACTCGAACCACAGAGTCAGCCACGTGGGATCCAGTGCCTGAACCACCACGCCACCCACTTGCCCATGCAATCAAGTGTTCTCAGACAATTCTCGCTTCTGCCGCTCGCCCACCACGCACCCAGTGACCTGTGGATCTGTCTCCCCGTGCTGCGGCCCCACGTCAGGGAAGGGGCTCGGTTTCCTCCAGCCCCCGGCCACAGAAGGTGAAGTCGGCCTGGCTCTCTCCCCACAGGTACGTCGAGGAGGTGCACGAACTTTCCGCCGAGGCCAGCAAAGAGGCAGCCTTGGCCAACCAGGAAGTCTGGGAAGAGGCCCAGGGCCCTGAGACCGCCAGCCGCTGGTACTTCAGCCAGGACGGTGCCTGCGGGGACTCCCAGGGCGGGCACAAGAGCCCACACCCCTCCAGGGGCACGCTTCCTCCGCACAGTCAGGAAGAAAGTCCTTCCTGTACCTGTCGTTCCGGGAGGGACCTGCAGTGACTCCCAGGTGACACTTAGGGCACGTGCACTTTATCGTCTGCTTTAGCCGGGAGCTAGTTTTATAGATTTTATATTTTTTTTCCCAATTGCTAGAGGGCATACGCATACAGTTTTGTTATGCATTTGAAAAATAAACTAGTTTTATCATCAAACCCAGGTTTGTTTGTTATTTTTATTTGTTTTGAGAGGTTTTTGCTACAGGGTGCGTGTGCTCGCCAGAAAGAGAGAGACAGAGAGATAGAAAGCGAGAAATCACGCCCTGGGGGGGATGGCCACACTGCAATCCCTTCTCCATTCTCCTCTCGGGATCTTGGGCACGCACGCACACGCACCTGGCGTGAGTTTAAGCCACCGGGTCCGGGACTCGAACCCCAGTTGACTACATAGTCTGGCAACATAGCTATTACGCTAACTGCTGGTGCCTGTTTTTTATTTTTTAGACGGATTTTTGCTATAGGGCACATGCATTCACTAGAGACAGACAGCAAGAAACCTCCCCTCCCCCAAGAGGTATGGCCACACCACGATCCCTTCTCCTTTATTCTCCTCTTGGGATTTGGGGTACACATACGCACACATCCGGTGTAAGTTTGAATCCGCCAGGACCAGGACTTAACTCACAGCTGGCCATGGGTGAGTCAGGCGTTATCATTACATCATCGGCTGGGGCCCCCCTTTTTTTTTTTTTTTTAAGAATTATTTATTTGATTTCTTGGATTATTATCATTAATTTTAAAGAATTATTCCATTTAACTTTATTGATTTTATTTTAATTTGACCAGAGAGAGAGAAAGCAAGCCACCAGGTCCAGGACTCGAACTGTGGTCTGCCATGTGGGAGTCCAGTGCCCTTTAACCACCATGCCACCTGCCTGCCCTGAGTTATTGCTTTTTTGTTTTTGGGTGGTTTTTTTGGAGAGGTTTTTGCTATAGGGCACTTGCGCTCGCCAGAAAGACAGGGAGAGACAGAGAGAGACAGAAAGCGAGAAATCACCCCCCGAGGGAAATGGCCACACCGCAATCCCTTCTCCATTCTCCTCTCGGGGTCTTGGGCACGTGCACATACGCGTGAGTGTAAGCCACTGGACTCGAACCACGGTCAACTACATGGGAGTCCAACAACATAGCCATTATGCTAACTGCTGGTCCCAGGTTACTGTTATTTTTAAATTTGACCAGAGACAGAGAGAGAGAGAGAGGGAAGGTGAGAAAGCAAGCTGCCAGGTCTGGGACTCAAACTGTGGTCGATCACGTGTCAGTCCAGCGCCTTAACCACCACGCTACCTCCTGGTCCTTTTTTCTTTTCTTTTTTCTGTTTTGCTATAGGATGGATATGCTCACCAGAGGGAGACCAAGAGGGAAAGTGAGAAATCACCCCCCAAGAGGAATCCCCATGCTGCAATCCCTTCTCCACTCTCCTCTTGGGATTTGAGGACATCTGTGGATGCTCCTGACAGACACTGTGCCACCCCCAGTAGAGACAACAAAGATACCTACTGGGCCACACGGGAATCCGAGATTCTGCTCCTGGTCCAACCAAGAGCCTGGAGACTGGAATCTCAGTGTGTGCCCAGGGTCCGAATCCCACGCTGCTCACCCCGGCCAGTCTCAGAGCCAGGAGGGTTGGAGCGAGGGCTCCCTCTAATGGCTGGTTCCCTCTAGCGTCCAACCCAATGGGCTCCAGGCCACTCTTGCTGGGACCTGGGGTGGGTGCTTCCCTTGTGTAAGCCTTGGTACGTCACCTGGACCTGGAAGGTGTCACCTGGACCTGGAAGGTGCCGCCGTCAGTCTCCCAGGGCACCCGAGGCAATTGTTCCGCTGGTCGCTGACGGCTCCATTCACACCTGCCATCATAAACCGCTCAGGGCCAGCAGGTAGCCTGGTGGTTAAGGCACTGGATTCCCACGTGACCGATTCCACTTTTTTGAGTTCTGGACCCAGTAGCTTGAAAACACGCTGTGGAATAGCGGAGTGCAGGAGCCAGCAGATGGCGTGGTGGTTATATCACTGGACGCCCACATGACCAACTGCGGTTCGAGTCCCGGACCCAGCAGATTGAAACACTGGCCGTGTGTACTTGCATGCCCAGAACCCTGAGAGGAGAAGGGATTGTGGCGAGGCCATTACCTCTGGGGGGTGATTTCTCACATTCCCTCTCTCTGGCAAGGGCACGCATCATATGGCAAAAAAAAAAATCTAAAAATAAACAAACACCCCTCGAATGACCTAGGACAAACTCAGGCCGTGCCAGGCACATGGTACGTCTTCAACCTGTTTCCCCGGCACAGTGTAACCCTGAGCTAATGTCTTGCTCTGAGTTTCCTTCGTTTTCTGTCTTCTGGGCTGCGCCGTGTACCCCCAAATGCCATGGGCCGAGGGTGTGACCTCCAGTCACTCTGCATGTGACAGTGTTGGAGGAAGGCCCAGAAAAGACTTGATTAGGTCCTGTGGGAATCCGAGGAAAACTCCATGGGTCTTTGAGGCAGATGTGACCAGAACCTTCCGCCCCAGCCCAGAGGGGGACAGGAATAACACGGGACAGGGCAAGGCGGGCTCTGGGCTGGGGGCCTCATCCTGGGATGAGCTGGACACCAGGACGCTCCAGGCTCGGCCTAATTCACCCTGAGTCTGCAGCGAGGGGCACCCTAGCTCGACTTCAGGGAGGGTCCACCCCGGGATTTCTCACAGTCCCTGCAAATGCTCCTCATGGCTGGGGTCAGGGGTCACTGAGCTGATCCTTCTGCAACCACAAGTCTCCACCATCCCTGAGGGGGGCTTCCGGAACACCCCAGAAGCAGTCACCTCCAATTAGCCACAGAGGCAGGGACGAGGGCTGGGGCCAGAGCAGGGTGCCGGCTTCTTGGCAGGAGACGGGCCTGGCTTGGCAACTGTCACGGCCACGGGCACCTGCCACGTCAGGGAGGAAGGAGGGAGGGGACCCAGGCTCGGATCATGGGGGTGTCTGTTCTGCAGGGCAGTGGGGTCCTGGGAGCTCAAGACATGACCCTTGGTGGTTAAAGTGCTCACAGAGACAGGGTCACCAACAGGGGGCATCTCAGTAAGAGAAGGACAGGGACCAGCAGTTGTTGTAATGGCTACATCACTGGACTCCCATGTAGTCGACCGCAGTTCGAGTCCCAGACCTGGTGGCTTCGAACTCACACCAGACTTGTGGGTGTGCGTGCCCAAGATCCCGAGAGGAGAATGGAGGAGAAAGGACTGCATCATGGCCATGCCCCCTGGGGGGTGATTTCCTGCTTTCTGTCTCTCTGGCAAGCATACGCACCCAACAGCAAAAGAAAAAAACTTTAGGGACCAGCAGGCGGTGGAGTGGTGTGCTTTCTTACCCCACCCCTACCCCTCTCTGTGTCTCTCTGGTCAAATTAAAATAAATGAATGAATAAATAAAATTAAATAAAGTAATCCTTTAAAAAACACTTTAAAAAAATCACTAAAAAATTTTAAACACACTGGGTACGTGTGTGTCTCAAATCCTAGCAGTTGGAGGAGTGGAGAAGGGATTGCGGCATGACTATACCCCGGTAGGAATGCTTTTCCCCTCTTTCTCTGTTGAGTACCCAGGAAATGGAGTTTGAGCAACAGGTGGTTGGATCCCACATGGCCAACTGCACAGTTCAGGTTCCAGACCCTGCAGCTTGAAAAACACGCTGGGGTTTGGGATCAGCAACTGGCGTAATGGCTATGTCGCTGGACTCCCATGTAGTTGACCACGGTTCAAGTCCTGGACCCGGTTGCTTGAACTCACACCTGGTGCGTGTGCGTGCGTGCCCAAGATCCCAAGAGGAGAATGGAGGAGAAGGGATTGTGGTGTGGCCATCCCCCCTGGGGAGGGATTTCTTGCTTTCTGTCTCTCTGCCTCTTTCTGTGTCTCTGGTGAGTGCACGTGCCCTATAGTAAATATCTCTCAAAACAAAATTATTGCATTTAATTGTATTATTATTTTGAACATTTTGACTGGAGAGACACAGATAGATGCAAAGTGAGAAAACAAGGCTCCAGGAGGTCCAAGACTCAAACCACAGCCAGCCATGTGGGAGTCCAACACCTTAACCACCATGCCACCTACTGGTCCCTTGTTGAATCACTTCTTAGACTGTTTTTACCCAGATTGGGCCAAGGGCCCTCCAGTGGACAGCACCCTTCCATGTGGCTGGAGCGGGGGAGCAGAGCAGCCCTGAGGGACCTCTGCCCTGGTCAGGTCAGCAAAGAGGCGACATGGAATAGGGGTTTGCAGAGACAAGGGGAGCCCTCAGAGGTGACTTACCAAGGCTCTCTGTCCCGGTTTAACGTCGCTTCAGCTCACGGTGCAGACCGCCCCCACCCGCCCTGGTTGAGATTCTCCGAGTGGACGCTAGGGGGCAGCAAATCCCCTACTAGCCGCTGTCCGCCACTGCGGAGGACACAGAGCCCGGTGGCCACTCTGCGCTCTGCGGCCGCGGGAGCCATTGCCCCATCGTGCAGCTGCAACGGGGAATGTCTATGCATACTTTAAAAAATATATATTGATGCTCAGAGATTATGTTAGCAGTTTAATTTTTTTTTTTTGGAGTGGTTTTTGCTATAGGGCACGTGCCCTCACCAGGAAGACAGAGAGAGACAGAGAGACAGAAAGAGAGACATCACCGCCCAGGGGGGATGGCCACGCCGCAATCCCTTCTTCTCCATTCTCCTCTCGGGATCTTGGGCACGCACGCACATGCGCCCGGCGTGAGTTCTAAGCCACGGGGTCCAGGACGCGAACCGTGGTTGACTGCGTGGGAGTCCAATGATGTAGCCCTTATGCCATCTGCTGACCCCACATTAAAAAGGTTTTTTTTCTTTTTTTGAGAGAGATCTTTTTGCAGTTAGAAGCCATGCGTTCCAGAGACACAGAAAGCAAGAAATCACCCCCCAGAGGGGATGGCCACGCCACAATCCCTTCTCCTCCATTCTCCTCTCAGGATCTTGGGCACGCACGCACACGCGCCTGGCGTGAGTTTAAGCCACCAGACCCAGGACTCGAACCATAATCAACGATGTTGGAGTCTAGACACGTAACCAATGCTGGTTACCAGCCATCCACTGGTTCCAATATTTTAATATTTGTATACCTTATCACACTTCTT